TGAATCTCTGAGAAATAAAATTTAAACTCCATTAGCAACAGAAAAAGAAATCACCTTTAAGATCAGGTTGTTTCTGTCCTGTGCAAGGCTATCCACCCCATTCTTTAGCAGAGAACACTGAATTTCTCAAAAATTTTATTTCCTGGACTCTTTGTCTTCTAGAGTCCAGATGGCCAAGGAGGAGGACTGGGCTCTGCCTACCTGGATATCCCTCTGTACCATCTAAACCAGGGGTAGGCAACCTTTTTGAGCCGGGGGCCGGGTTGCTGTCCCTCAGACAATTGGGGGGCCGAAGCACCAAAAATAAATAAATAAATAAATAAATAAATAAATAAATATTTTAAAAAAATAAAAAATAAATAAAAAATATGCATGCACATTCTTTCAGACCCAGAAAAGCCATGGCAAAACCCCTGTGGAGATTTTGCCAAGAAAAACCCAAGAACAAGTAATAACAATAATCAATATCATCATGGTGGGCGGTGGCGGCAGCAGGACTGGCCTGGGGCCGGTCCAAAGGCCTTAGGGGGCCACATCCGGCCCCCAGGGCTTAGGCTACCTACCCCAGATCTAAACTGAGCATAACTATAACAATATGTTGACAAAATGTAGGACGATGACTCCAACATTGCCATTTTTTTTTCTTTGTCCTGTTTGATTTTTTAACATTTTTTAACACCTTTGCCTGATGGAGAAGCCAGTGGAGCTTTGAAAGCTCGCATCAGCTATTTATGAATTTTGGTTGACCCAATAAAGGTATCACTGTTTTGTGGATTTTTTTTTTTTTTTATGTTACTGCACTTCACCACACTAGCTGTTAGTACTGTAGCGCTATGCTTTTCTATCTTTGATCCTTCCATTATTTTATACCCATTATTTTGGACTTCAGGTCCCAGAAGTCCCAACCAGTGTAAACAATCATCAGGAATTCTTGGAGATGAAACCTTAAACATCTGGCTGGCCGGAGTCTGACAAGCACTGCTAATGGGGACTTTCCTTCTCCGGGAAGCAAAAGTAAGTAAGGCCAATTGCACAGAAGGAGGGTTACCTGTGGGGATGCAGCCAGTGCCCTGGCAGGAAGGACAGGTAATGCTGTCTTGGCCAGTGAATTCCACATACGGGAACCTGGCAATGTCTTCCTCCCGGTCCTTGTTGTCCAGCAAATCTTCATCCTCCTCTCTCTGCTGCCTGGAGCAGGAGGAGCTTGTGCCCGCAGAATGTGAAGACCCCATTAGAACTGCTAGTGGGGAGGAGAAGAACCCCACGAGTCCTGGAATTAAGGATGAAGCAGAAGATTTTTTTAAAAAATGCAAACTTTTTCCCCAACCACACTCTGAAAGGTGACTCCATCATGTGGGCCACAGGTATGCCACACTAAATTTCTGCAGTCAGGTAATCCCAATTCTGCACCAAGCAGTAACAATAATTAACAAAGAATTGTGTGACAAATGCCCTTACCTCATGTTTGTCATAGAATCCTAGAGCTGGAAAAGACCTCAAAGGCCATCCAGTTTGACCTCTCCTGCCATGCAGAAATATATAATCAAAGCACTCCCTACAGATGGTCTCTGTTTAAAAACCTCCAAAGAAGGAGACTCCACCACATTTGGAGGGAGTGTGTTCCACTGTCAAGCAACTCTTACCATAAGGAAGTTCTCCCTAATGTTGAGATGGAATCTCTTTTCCTCTTTTCTCGTGTCCCAGTTCTATAAGTCATGGAAGCAGCATCTGAACAAAGCATCTCTTATTGCTACCAGCTAGAGCTCAAGATAGCCAACATGGTGTACTCATTGGGGTTGGGCTAAGACTCTGGAGACCAGGGTTCAAATCCTCACTTGCCAATGAAAACTGTTGTGTGACCTTGGGGAAGTTACATTCTCTCAGCCTCAGAGGAAGGCAAAGGCAAACAAATCATCCTGTGACAGGTTGCCTTAGGGTCATCATAAGTCGGAAACAACTTGAAGGCACACAATAACACCTACAAGAGCTCAAGATTCAGGTAAGCTTTGATCAAGTACAAGAAAATCAAGAATGACAGAAACCTACATGCAGGCTCCAATTCCACTTCCCTTGCTTTAGCTGAATCCTCAATGCATCACAATACACACACTGCACACACACACACATACAACCAGCACATTAGGTTTGCCAGAGGAAAACAATCAGCAAAGAAAAGATATGATCTTTTATATGCCCATTAGCAGCTATCGGGCAAGAGCAATGTACCACTGATATAAGTTTAGGCATTTGGCCAGTCTGGATGGGCTCACCCTCCCCTTTGAAAACTGTAAACACATAGGATCCAGCATTGCCACCAAGCAGCTCAGCGGCTACAAACCCTTTTTAGCAATTTCAATGGCTGCGCTAACCACGAAAAATCAGATCCAGCCACAATCAATCACACTCTGTGTCAAATCCAAATGGGATGACTCCATGAGGGGCAACCTTTCAGTCTGGCACAAAACAAATCGGGGCAACTGGAGCATAATGCAGCAGTCAGACTGGAGCAGAGTTTAGAGAAATTGTTGTTTTGATGATGATGATGATGATGATGATGACGACGATGATGACAACGATGACTGCATCACAACTTCCAGTTATTGTCACTGACAGGGCCATACAGGTTGGTGAATTCTGGCAGTTATGGTGCAAAAAAGTAATTTTTCCATGCTCTAGTGTGGATCATGCTACCACAATGTTGCCGAAGCATCACAGGCTCACAGTTTTTCCAGGGTTCAATTCAAAGAGCACACCCTCTCTTTTATCAACTACTTACTAGTTTCCCAGGGTCATCAGTAGAAGTATCCATGCTAGTCCAACACAAACCTGAAATCTGTTTATACGCACTCTTGGAGTGCATTAGAATGTATCCTATGGAATTCCCTGCCACCTGATGGCAGCTGTGTACCAACAGTGCATATTTTGAGCTTCTGCTAAAGGCATTTTCATTTAAACAAACCACTCATGGTTTTACAGGGACAAATGTTTGATATTTTTAGGATATTTTAAAATCTTCATTTAATTTTTTTAAAAAACACCTTGGAGTTTTTTAAGCCTAGAGCAGTTTATTTGCCATGTTCATAAGTTAAACACCTATAAAGTGGTAGTGCTAATTGAGGAGGGAGCAAGCTTGTTTTCTGCTGCTCCAGAGAACAGGACACAGAACAATGGATGGAAGCTACAAGAAAAGAGATTCCACCTAAATATTAGGAATAACTTCCTGGCAGTAAGAGCTGATCAACAGTGGAATACACTGCCTTGGAGTGTGATGGAGTCTCCTTCCTTGGAGGTCTTTAAACAGAGGCTGGATGTCCATCTGCCAGGGGTGCTTTGATTGTGTATTCCTGCATGGCAGAATGGGGTTGGACTGGATGGCCCTCATGGTCTCTTCCAACTCTATGAATCTAAGAGTAGAGCCCTAAGATCTGCCTCCTTCCATATTAAGATGTGTGTTACATGCGCCATTCAGCAACAACAGCTCTGTGGACTTTCACCCAGATGCCCAAAATGGCTTAATTTCATGACGCAGAAATGTGAAACCCCCACCTTAAAAAGGTTCCAGTAGTCTAAAGCTGAACAACTAAAGTGTGGCTTCCCCTCCTCAAAAAAAGCATTCAGGCTGAATAATCCAATCATGTTTCTGTGAGCGCTTTCTCCTGTTGCACTGCAAAGTTTTTAATTTGTTTTGTGGGCTTGCATAATTTTCTTTATCAGGGACACTGCCAGGTTGAAAGCTAAGCCTGCTTATTGAAAACCCTCTACTGCGGCTATTGAGCATCAAGCGCACTTCTTTCCACACAGCTTTGTCCCTTTTGTAAGCTCACACCAGGGCCTCGCTCTTCAACGTAGCAAAATATATTTTCCACAACTTGGTGCCTCCTGATACCAAACAGAGCTGGAAACAAAGGCTGCATCTACACTGCAGAAATAATGCAATTTGACACTGCTTTAACTGCCATGGCTCCATCCTATGGAATCCTGGGATTTGTTGTGGCACCAGAGTGCTCTAACATGGGAGGCTAAATATCTCACAAAACTACAATTCCCAGATTTCCACAGCTTTGAGTCATGGCAGTTAAAGTAGTGTCAAACTGCATTATTTCTGCAGTGTAGATGCATCTATACCCATGTTAGTCTGGAATATCAGTATGCAAAGGGATCTGGTAACACCCTTGAGACTAAGGGCCTATACAGACTGCCAAAATAATTGTTTGATGCCACTTTAACTGCCTTGGCCCAGTGTTAGGGAATCATGGGAACTGTAGTTTATTGTGGCACCAGAGCTCTCTAGCAGAGAAGGCTCAATGTCTCAGAAAAAAACTACAACTCCCATGATTCTCTAGCACTGAGCCAGGGCAGTTAAAGCGGTCTCAGACTGGATTATTCCTGCAGTGTGTTTTGGACCACAGTCTCTCTCCCTTTCCCATCTCTGTGCCTGGCCCACCTGATGTGTCTTCTTGCAATCCTAAAAGAAGAGCAGGTGCCAAAAACCCAGCCCAGCCAATGTGGATGGTTTCAAAATGGGTATGACTTATTTGTCCTTTCAAACGGTTGCATGTTTTAATGAATGTCCTTTTATTTAACTGATGTGATTCACTGTCAATTTGTTGTAGTTCCCCACCTCAATCCATGGGGAAAGGGAGATAAGAAATTAATTATTATTATTATTAATTACTATTATTATTAATTACTATATCTTACCTGCCTTTCCCCATGGATCAAAGTGGAGAACAACAACAAATTGACAAATCATCATCATTATCTTGAGTTCTTGAGGATGTTGTAGCAGTTTGAGCATTGGAGTATGACTCTGGAGACCAGACCCCGGCTGACCTTGGGCAAAGTCACACTCTCTCAGACTCAAGGGATGGCAATGGCAAACCCCCTCGGGAGAAATCCTGGCAAGAAACCCCCATGACAGGTTTGTTTGTCTTAGGGTCACCATAAGTTGGAAACAGCTTGAAGGCACACAACAGCAACAACAACAACAACACATGAGAACCAGTGTAGTGCTGTGGTTTGAGTGCTGAACTAGGACTCCGGTGGACCAGAGTTCAAATCTCTGCTCGGTCATGCAAACCCAAAGAGTGAGTGGGCAAGTCACATTCTCTCAGCCTCAGGAGATGGCAACGGAAAAGGCGAACCATCTCCGAAGACACTTGCTAAGAAACCCCCGGTGACAGATTCACTTTAGTGTGGCCCTAAGTTGGAAGCAACATGAAGCCAATAACAACAACACTTGAGAGCCAGTGCAGCTGCATGAGTGCTGAGCTAGGCCTCTGGAGAGACCAGGGTTCGAATCTCTGCTAGGCCTCTGAGGGACCTTAGGCGAGTCACACTGTCTCAGCCTCAGGGGGCGGCGAAGGCAAAACTCCTCTGAACAAATGTTGCCAAGAAAACCCATGAATCAGGTTCTCCTCAGGGTGGCCATGAGTCGGAAGGGACTTGAAGGCACACAACAACAACAACCACCACAACATGGAAGTCGTACATGTCAACAGTCTGGAGGGCTTTCCCACTCCCCTCCCCAGCCCCCCAACTGCCTTCTCTTCGGCCCCCAATCCTCTTCCTCGCCCCCCTGCCCAAAACAAGGCACCCCCAGAGTCCCTCTCGCTCACCACGACAACGACGACGCTCCCTAATCCCCCTTTAAACCGGCTCTCCACTCGGGCTGCTATTGCCACTGCTGCAGCTGCTTAGCGTCGCTACGACACAACAAGGGGGCGGTGCCACGACACGGACACGCCCCCTCCCGGGCAGGAAGTCAGCCTCACGCCCACTCTTCTACGGGCTACTGCGCATGACGCGCAAGGGGTGGAAGCTTTTGGTTGTACGCATGCGCGCATAATCTCGTGGACTATGCTCCTGAGAGTCTGGTTTGGAGAGTTGGAGCGCTTTTATCCCGCGTTGGGCGCTTGTGTGTTACAAGTAGGGGGTGCCAGAACGGGGACAGTTGGCTCGTGGAAGCATACCCAGGGGTATATATTTATTTTATAAATATTCGTGTGTGTTTGTTTAATATGCCGCCTTTTTTTGGACCCAGGGTGGCTCACAAAAGATACTTTGAAAAAGTAGTTTTAAAAACACAATCAAAAACATTACATTAATATATTCAAGGGGAGCAAAGGACAATAATATACATATATATATATAAATATATGTGTGTGTGTGTGTATAACAAGTTAATAAATAAAATTGTTAAAAACATATACACATATACACGTGTATATAGGGATGTGGTGGCACAAGTGGTTAAGATGCTGATTCTGTTCATTGCAACAAGATCATCAGGTTGGCAGTTCGAGGCCCTGGTGCTGCATGATGGGGTGAGCTCCTGTCACTAGTCCCAGCTTCTGCCAGCCTAGCAGTTCGAAAGCATGCAAATGCAAGTAGGTAAATAGGTACCACTTCTCAGTGGGAAGGTAAACAGTGTTCTGTGCAGTTATGCTGGCCCCATGACCACAGAGTAGTCTCTGACAACGCTGGCTCTTCAGCTTAGTAACAGAGATGAGCACCATCCCCTACGGTCGGACATAACTTATATATACATATAATACAATGTTTTATATTTATATAATAATAATAATAATAATAATAATAATAATAATAATAATAATAATAATAATAATAATAACAACAACAACAATAATAAATTTTTATTTATATACCGCCCATTGGTAACCCAATCCAGGCGGTTTACAGCATAAAATAACATACAGCGTAAAACAGACATTTTCCTTTATTTAGTAACTTATTTTACACACACACACACATATATAAATATGCATATTATTGTCCTTTGCTCCCCTTGGATATATATCTATATAATATATGTGTATATTTTATAAATATGTATCTAAGGAGCACAAAGGACAATAATACCCCAAATCCACAAAACGGATACATTTATGGGACCAACCAACATGCATAAAATATCTGATGCAAGCTTTTGAAGCGTCACTTGCATCTTCATCAGGCAAAGGCATTTAAAAATCGTATAGCTGAAAGAGAAAAAAAAGATCACAGAATCATAGAGTTGGAAAAGACCATTGGGGCCATCCAGTCCAACCCCATTCTGCCGTGCAGGAACCCACAATCAAAGCATCCCTGACAGATGACCATCCAGCCTCTGTTTAAAGACCTCCAAAGAAGGAAACTCCACCACTCTCCAAGGGAGTGTCTTCCACTGTCAAACAGCTCTCACTGTCAGGAGGGTCCTCTTAATGTTGAGATGGAATCTTTTCCTGTAGCTTGCATCATTTGTTCAAGGTCCTATTCTCTGGAACATCAGAAAACAAGCTTGCTCCATCCTCAATATGACACTCCTTCAGATACCTAAACAAGGCTATCATGTCACCTCTTAGTCATCTCTTCTCCAGGCTAAACATACCCAGCTTCCTAAGTCACTCCTCATATAAGGAATGGTTTCCAGACCCTTCACCATTTTGGTCAACCTCCTCTGGACACACTCCAGCTTGTCAATATCCTTTCTGAATTGTGGTGCCCAGAACTGGACACAGTATTCTAGGTGAGGCCTGACCAAAGCAGAATAGAGTTGCACCATTACTTACCTTGATCTAGACCAAGGGTAGGCAACCTTTCCCCTTTAAGGGCCGAGGGACTTCAGCTCCCAGAATCCCAGGAGCTATTGGCCAACATGGGACTATTGGCCAACATGGCTGAGGCTTCTGGGAGCTGAAGTCCCTCGGCCCTTAAAGGGGAAAGGTTGCCTACCCCTGATCTAGACACTATACTTCTGTTGATGCAACCAAAAATTAGATTGGCTTTCATGGCTGCTGCATCACACTGTTGACTTGTGTTCAACTTGTCATCTACTAAGACTCCTAGATCCCTTTCCTATGTAGTCTTGTTAAGCCAGGTGTCCCCCATCCTATATCTATGCATTTCATTTTTTCTGCCTAAGTGTAGTAACTTACATTTCTCCCTGCTGAAATTCATCTTGTTAGCTTTAGCCAATCCCTCTAATCTGTCAAGGTCATTTTGATTTTTGATCCTGTCCTCTGGGGTATTAGCTACTCCTCCTAATTTGGTGTCATCTGCAAATTTGATAAGCATGTCCCCTATTCTTTCATCCAAGTCATTGATAAAGATGTTGAATAGCACTGGGCCCAGAACAGAACCCTGTGGCACCCCACTGGTCACTTCTCTCCAGGATGAAGAAGGAGGAGCCATTGCTGAGCACCCTTTGGGTTCGGCCGGTCAACCAATTACAAATTCACTTAATAGTTGTACTTTCTGCCCACATTTTACTAGCTTGTTTGCAAGACTATCATGGGAAACCTTGTCAAAGACCTTACTGAAGTCAAGGTATGCTATATCCACAGCATTCCCTTTATCTACCAAGCTGATAATTATATCCAAAATGCCCCCTGTTCTTTCATCCGAGTCATTGATAAAGATGTTGAATAGCACTGGGCCCAGGACAGAACCCTGTGGCACCCCACTATGAGTGGACTAGGTCACAGCCACTGTGGTAGTAGTTATGGGTGGAGAGTCCTGAAACCATCCCCCTTGTGGGCCCTGACTGTAAAAGGCAATAGAGTGATGGCAGACTGTTGTCAACTGCTGATTGGATAGAATTGTACTGTACTGAGACCAAAACTGTGTATAAGCCTGTACCCACTTTACATCTGGGACCCTTGAGCACTCAAGTTTTTGCTTTAGTTCTTAGTTTTTATAATAAAACCAATATCATGGGCCAGAACTGTGTGGTCATTGCCTGCAAGTCCAGTTGAGGCTGCACTTTACGGAGGCAAAGGTGAGTTTCTTGGCACTCAACGTGGAGCTCTCCCAGGCCTCCACAGCTCTGAGTCAGTTCGCACTGTGACTCGTGGGCAGTGGGTGAGTGCATATGCTGCCTTCCATTTTAAGTCCCCCTGCTTCTGGTAACCCACGGGAAAATAAAAGGGATCCTGACCATTGGGTGGTGGCAGTGGACGATGCTTCTGATCATCCAGCAACATCCCATTGAGATGTGATTGTTGCTTTGTTGGTGGCCTGTCTTCCGGCGGACTCTGAATCCCTAACTGTCTTCCTAATCCAAGATAATAATCTAGGTGCTGCCAGGGAGTTTCGTGAGTGGGCTGCCTATTAATCTACCGGATCTGGTTTTGCCAGGGCTGCCCGGAATTCTTCCAAAGACGCTTGAAGACACCCAGAGCATGTAGAGATGCCATGAGGTGTAGGTGAGCTCCTGAGGGAGAGAAACTCTGAGAATGAGGTTGGGGCAATCTAAGGGCCTTTACAGACTGCCAGAAATAATGCAGCTTGAGGCCACTTTAACTGTCCTTGCTCAGTGCTAATGGATTATGGGAACTGTACCGTATATTCCGGCGTATTAGACGACTTTTTAACCTGGAAAAGCTGGGGCTAAAG